CGTCGTCGCCGTCGCCGCCTCCGCCGCCCAGGCCGCCGCCGACCCTGACGCCAACGCCGCCATCGCCGTCGTCGTCGCCGTCGTCTTCGTCGCCGTCGTCGTTATTGTCGTTGTTGTCGCCGTCGTCGTCGTCGTCGTCGTCGCCGTCGTCGTCGTCGTCGTCGTCGTCGTCGTCGACGTCGTCGTCGTCGTCGCCATCGTCTTCGTCGCCTCCCGCGCCGCCAACGCCCCTGCCGCCGCCGCCGCCGCCGTCGTCGGGGTCGCCGTCGTCGTCGTCGTCGTCGTCGTCGTCGTCGTCGTCGTCGTCGTCGTCGTCGTTGTCGTCGTGGTCGTCGTCGTCGTCGTCCTCGTCCCCGTCGTCGTCGCCGTCGTCGTCGTCGTCGTCGTCGTCGTCGTCGTCGTCGTCGTTGCCGTCGTTTGCGTTGCTTCCCGCGCCGCCAACGCCCCTGCCGCATGGTCGTCGTCGCCTCCAGCGCGGCCGCCGCCCCTGCCGCCGCCGCCGCCGCCGTCGTCTCGGTAGTCGTCGTCGTCGTCGTCGTCGTCGTCGTCGTCGTCGTCGTCGTCGTCGTCGTCGTCGTCGTCGTCGTCTTAGTCGTCGTTGCCGTCGTCGCCGCCGCCGTCGTCGCCGTCGTCGTCGTCGTCGCCGTTGTCGTCGTTGTCGTCGTCGTCGTCGTTTTCGTCGTCGTCGTCGTCGTCGTCGTCGTCGTCGTCGTCGTCGTCGTCGTGGTGTTCGTCATCGCCGCCGCCGCCTCTGTCGTGATCCTCCTGGTCGTCGTCGTCGTCGTCGTCGTTGTTGTCGTCATCGCCGCCGCGCCGCCGCCCGCCGTCGTCGGTCGTCGTCTCGTCGTCGTCGTCGTCGTCGTCGTCGTCGCGATCGTCGTCGTCGTGGTCGTCATCGCGCCGTCTTGGCCGTCGTCTCGTCGCGTCGTTCCGTCGTTTTTGGCCGTCCCGCCTTCAGCCACCGCCGCCGTCGTCCCCGTCGTCGTCGTCGTTGTCGTCGACGTCGTCGCCGCCGCCGCCGCCGCCGTCGTGGTCGTCGTCGTCGTCCGTCATCTTTGTCGTCGTCGTTGTTGTCGTCGTCGTCGTCGCCGTCGCCCGGCCGCCGCTGCCGCCTGCCTTGCGCCGCCGTCGTCGTCGTCGTCGTCGTGTCGTCGTCGCCGTCGCAGTCGTCGTCGTTCGACGTCGTCGTCCCGATCGTCGTCGCGTTGGTCGTCCGTGTCTTGCACCCTGCGCCGCGCCGCCCGCCGTCCCGTGTTGTCGCCGATCGTCGTCATCGTCGTTGTTGGTCGTCGTCGTTGCGTCGTCGTACTCGTCCGGTTCGTCGTTGTCGTTGTGGTCGTCATCGTCGCCGCGGCCGTCGTCGTCGTCGTCGTCGTCGTCGTCGTCGTCTTCGTCGTCGTCGTCGTCGTTGTTGCCGTCATCGCCGCGCCGTCATGTTCGTCGTCGTCGTCGTCGCCGTCGTCTTCGTCGCCTTCTGCGCGGCCGCCGCCGCCGACGTCGTCGCGGTCGTTGTCGTCGTCGTCGTCGTCGTCTATCTGGCGTCGTCGTTTTTGTCGTCGTCGCCGTCGTCGTCGTCGTCGTAGTTGCCGTTCTTGCCGCCGTCGTCGTCGTCGTCGTCGTCGTCGTCGTCGTCGTCGTCGTCGTCGTTGTCGTTGTCGTTGTCGTCGTCGTCGTTGTCGGTCG